GAGCATGTGCACTCAACTTCTTTGGTCGACCATGGCGAGGCCTGTTCTTTGTGGAACCTGTCCTGTTAAACCGCTGTATGGTCTTGGCCACTGTGCTGCAGCTCAGTTTCAGGGTCTTGGCAATCTTCTTATAGCCTACGCCATCTTTATGTAGAGCAACATTTTTTTTTTCAGATCCTCAGAGAGTTCTTTGTCATGAGGTGCCATGTTGAACTTCCAGTGACCAGTATGAGAGAGTGAGAGCGATAACACCAAATTTAACACACCTGTTCCACATTCACCCGTGAGACCTTGTAACACTAATGAGTCACATGACACCGGGGAGAGAAAATGGCTAATTGGGCCCAATTTGGACATTTTCACTTAGGGGTGTACTCACTTTTGTGGCCAGCGGTTTAGACATTAATGGCTGTGTGTTGAGTTATTTTGAGGGGACAGCAAATTTACACTGTTATACAAGCTGTACACTCACTACTTTACAGTGTAGCAAAGTGTCATTTCTTCAGTGTTGTCACATGAAAAGATATAATAAAATATTTACAAAAATGTGAGGGGTGTACTCACTTCTGTGAGATACTGTATAATAACCCCTAGCAGATCTATACAGGTGGAGCTGGGGAAGGTGGAGGATTTCAGAGGAACTGCTCTAGTGAATGATAACCAGCCATTTAAATGTAAAGCAGTAAGCTCATTGGCTGCATATGCAACATGAACCATTCAGCTTGTGAATATCATCAGTTTGCATTAACAACCCATCAGCCTGCACCATCTAGAGTTTCATAACAGAACTTGGCATACATATTATAATGACATTTTACAGTCTTGTCCGGAAAGTATCCAGCCATGTAATATGAAGAATACGAGACGAGAGATGCAATATGTCGAAAACGGCAGCAGATATGGGCAGCTGGTGATTAAAGCAGCACTATGTAACTTTTTCTGTGTTCAAAATTTGCAAAATGTATATAATGATATATAATGTACATCATGAATTCATATTCCAAACCGCGTTATTTTCTTATTCCGAATCACTACGGTACACTTATAATAAGTACTTATATTTGAACTATTGTAGCCTGGTCGGGTCGTCACCGCTGCGGAGTAACACATACCTGCGTGAATCGCCATAGACATAAACTTAGAGAAGTAGCTCCGGCTGGAATGTTCTTCCGCGGCATGTGTGCAGTTCTGTTTATTAACCGCTAGAGCGCCAAAAGTTACGGACTGCAGCTTTAAGAAAAGATCATATTCCATGAAGATATTTTGTAAATTTCCTACCGTAAATATATCTAAACTTAATTTTAGATTAGTAATATTACAGCATTGCTAAGGACTTTATTTTGATAATTTTAGAGGCGATTTTCTCAATATTTTTTATTTTTTTGCACCCTCAGATTCCACATATTCAAATAGTTGTATCTCGACCAAATATTGTCCTATCATAACAAACCATAAATCAATGGAAAGCTTATTTATTCAGCTTTCAGATGATGTATACATCTAAATTTTGAAAAATGTACACTTAAGACTGGTTTATATATATAAGTGTAAATCTTTTTTATTAAAATTCATATAATATAATATGTCTTGAGAAAGAGAATCATTGATATATTAGTTCAATGGTGGACTCCTCCCAATCTGTTCACAACAATACCTGAATTATGAATTTTAATTCCCAAAACTGTCTCTCACGCAGACATCCTCATACTGTAGCCTCACGGCAAATCTCTGATATCTTGGGCATAACAGACCTTTAAATCAGAATCCTGATATTTTACTCTCTGCCCTCTTAACGCATCCCTCCACACTACATCCACTCCCATGATTTTTATTTTTCATTTCACTTTAATCAGCCTGCTGTGATCGTGTGCTTGATGGAGAGCTATACTTTATATCTCACCATCGCTCTCAAATGATTTTTGCAGCAAGGGACACAGGAAGAGTGAGAGAAAACCCAGGGGACACGTTGGCATTAACCATCTATACACATTCTTGGAACAGTGGAATCCACTGAGGAAGAGGGACCTTATTGGAAAGAGAGATCTCATTTATCCATAAACAGGCCACAGTTGAGTGAGAGAGACAGTACAGTTGTAATTCTGAGCATTGTTCAAAGGTCAGTGCCTTTCTCACATCCACATTCATTATATCTCTTGCTAAAATGATAAACCTCTCATTAATATATACAGTGGAGTTCAAAATTGTAAAGGCCAGGGTTATTATAGTTAACTAAAACCATAATCAAAATTGTTACTTGAAATAAAATAAATGTAAACTGAAATAAAATATAATATTAAAAGTGTATTTGAAGTTAGTTGCCAAATTTTTTTTTTTATATAAACTTAGAGAAGTAGCTCCGGTTGGAATGTTCTTCCGCGGCATGTGTGCAGTTCTGTTTATTAACCGCTAGAGCGCCAAAAGTTACACAGTGCTGCTTTAACAGCTTCATCACGACAATGTGCTCGCCCATGCATCATGTCTCTACAGTCCAGAATTGGTGCCCTGCAACATCTGGCATTTGCCAAAAACTAAAATCACCTTTGAATGGGGAATAAATGTCTCTATTTGTCATATTACATGGTTGGATTTTTTTCCGGACAGCTCTTGAACAGCTATGTGTGTGAGAGAGAGAGAGTGTGTGTATATATATGCTACACTGTATATTACACTGTTAAAATGAATTTAGAAAATGTTGAGTGAAACATTTGAAACTTTTCATTATTATCATCATTATTTATAAGACTATAATATTGCACTTCATGTCTGATGTAATTTATTCTAGTCTAGTTACTAACAGCTATTTTTATTGCTTCAAAAATAGCATGTTGTCAAAAGACCTGTTGTACATCCACACGTAAACCAGCTGCTAACTGAACTACAGTTTAGCAGATGAACTTCATTTCTATGTCCACCAGATGACAGTAACGTGCACCACACGGAAAAGTAATAAGTAGCCTAATGAACCTAATGTCATTCATTTGTTTTAAAGCCTCGTTGCTTCAGGCAAATTCATTTTACCATAAACATTTGATAAAACAATAATAGCCATGATATATTGCTCCTCTTGAAAATCGGCATTGTATTAAGCTACATGTTTAACAAACAATAAGTATAAGCTTTCCCACTGATGATTACAGGACAGTAAAAGTAAAAACCTGAAGAAGAAAATGAAAACAACTAAATATATAGCGAGGTGCAGTTGTGTTGCAATGAATTTAAATGTTAAATGTTAGGCAATCTAACTTTGCAGGTATAAGATTAATAGCCTACGATGTACTGTAAGAAATGTAAACAGTAAAAAGCACTTGAATGAAACTGCTATGAACTCTAGAGGTAAGAAATGTATCCATTGCAATGTTTATATGCTGCAATCCTATTGCATTGGTCAGTGTTGTAGGAGGAGCCACGGTGTAAACAAGCCTCAGATACATCAGTACTTTCGCTTTGCGATCTCGTTAACAACACGTGATTCCTGAGGAATATCTTCGGATTCTGACCAGAAGCATGGTACGTGTGGCTAATGGGATGTCTAAACCGGAAAGAAGTATGCATATAACGGAAATGCTGGAGTGAGCCGTCGGTCAAGACGCGCAGACATATTCCGGTTTACCAGAAGCAGATTAGAGCAATATATCTCGATTAGAGTGCTGCCGCATTAAGTCGTTATCACTGGTTAGAAAAACGCTGTCTGAGTCTGACATATAACTAATGCGAAGTAGCGACTATTGTTTGTGTTTCACAGTTGGATTCGTGTAATATCGTTCGTCAGACTGAAACATAACTTCCGTGTTTGCACCCGTAGGTCCAGACCCGCAAACATGTCTAATAAGAGACAAATATGTCAAATAACAAGAACGGGTCAGTCAGAGAGCGGACATATTCATGTCCCTTCAAGGAAACCCAGATTAGACGCAGTAAGTTGCTTATGGTTTAATTTGTCATAGAGAATAATCAAACTGGCCCACACATTATTAACACAGAAATAGACTTTATTTTTTGCTAGAAAGTCCATCTTAAGATAATAGATGTGAAGGAGGGAAAAAACAAAAACAGCTGAAACCAGCCTAGGATTGGCTGGTTTAAGGTGGTCTCCTAGCCTGGTCATAGCTGGTTTGCAGGCTGGTTTTAAAGAGGTTGTTATCACTTCTTTAGCTGGTCAGGCTGGGAGGCCACCTTAAACCAGCCAATCAGTTTATGCTGGTTTTAGCTGTATTTGTTATTATTATTTTATTTTATTCAGCAGAACGTGGTAGCTGGTTTCTAGGAGGTTCAAGCTGGTAGACTGGCAATAAACCAGTCACCAGCTGGTCATACCATCTTAGTGGTCAAACTGTTTTTTTGGAAGATTATAGCCTAGTTGATAACCAAATAAATATTAACAACCATGTTCCACAGCTGGATTCGGACTGAATGGTTCTTCCTCTGTCAGTGCTCAGGTCTGCAGGCAGATGTTCCTCTAGCTGTGGTTGAGGAGATCCTCCTGAATCTGCCTGCTCATCAGGTGGTGCGAGTCTGTCGTCTGGTGTGTCATGAGTGGAAGGAGCTGGTGGACAGTGCTGCACACTGGAGAGAGCGCTGTCACAGAGAGGGATTCCACCCATGTGAGGTTTCCAGACCACCAGATGACTGGCGCTTGTTTTACTTCTTAACTAAGAATCGACATAACTTGCTCAAGAATCCCAGAGCAGAAGGTGATTCATATCAATGTCACTGATATACTATTGTAGTTTTTATAAATATTTTGAATGAGTTTTTATTTTTGTATTTACTGTTTTCGTTCTATTTTAGTTGAAGTTGTACTAATTGTGTTCTGTTTTTGTCATTATTATAAGTTTTTCTAATGTCTGTACAGTTTTTATTGATTGTTATGTCCGTTTTTGTTTGTTATTTTAGTATTAAATGAAAATGAGAAAGTTTGCCATTGCAAGTAGTTGAAATAAAATATATATTTTTTAATATTATATTTTATTTCAGTTAACGTTTATTATATATCAAGTAATGATTTTTTTATGGTTAAAATTTTAGGGTTAGTTAATAATAACCCTGATTTACATAAATAGGTTTGAACAATAAGTGTCTTCAGAAAGAGCTTTATTTGCCAAGTGTTTACACACACAAGGAATTTGTCTTGGTGTCAGGAGCTTCCAGTACAGAAAGTACAAACATAGTGCAGACATGCATATAATTTAAAGTAATGTCTTTATTAAGGTGTGAATTTTTGTTTCAGATAACATCTCTTCTCTGATGTTCTTATTAGGTCAACTTCAAGGATGGACGATTGTACAGAATGGAGGTGACTGCTGGGTTACAGGGGGAAATATGAAACCATTTCCAGATGAGACAGTCACAAAATGTTTTGTAACTTCTTATGGGTATATTTGATATTTTAAATCTTATAAGAACATTTTGAACTTATTTATTGGTCAATATATGATTATCAATCAATCAGCAAGCCAATCCACACATGAATCACTGATAAAAATGTGTCCTTAGGTTATGTTTGAAGCAACAGCTTATTGATTTGAAGAAAGAAGGCTACAGTGATGCTTTCATGGATCGACTGCAACCTCCTATCAAAATAACAGACTGGTGAGCATTCACGCAAACCCATTTCAAGCTTCTATATCTTAGGAGGTGAATTTCATTCTTTTGGTGATGAATTTAATACTTTTTCTGTGAATGACCCTTCCATCTGGGTCATCATATTCAGATTTAAATATTTATGTTATTGCTATAGTTTTATTATAATTATTATTATTGCAAGAATCTGCATAAATGGTAACTTTGTTTAAAAAAATTCCAAACATGTTCAAAACTACTACTTTGGAACATAAAGAATGTTTTGAAAACTGTCTGTTTTTTTTGGAAGTCAATGTGCTCGTGTCGTTTGGACCCTGTTGACTTCCAAAACATCTTCTTTTGTGTTTTACAGTAACGATGACAGAATTTTACTGTCCCTTTAAATGCAGTACCAGTGTTACTTACAAAGCAGGTTGTAATATGAAAGCACATTTATGTGATGTCTTCTCTGCAGGTATGCACCACGCTATGATTGTGGGTGTCAGTATGAGATCAGTGTAGAGTTGCTTGATCGGAGGAAAAAACCTCTCTGTACTTTTCAGCCTGAGAAAGTTTTTTTTGAACAGTGGAATCATGAGCCGTGGTGTCAAGTGAGTAGCATAATACTGACAGTCAAGTTATTCCCCTACAATCAAACCAACAGTCTAGGCTTCATTGTCTCTTTATTTGTTCTGCTTTATTTCAGATGACACACGTCTTTAAGGATTATGGACCTGGGGTTCGGTTTATCTGTTTCACTCATGGAGGGGTGGATACACAGTTTTGGGCAGGCTGGTATGGGATACGGGTTACCAACAGTAGTGTGGAGATCTGTCCAGCTGAAGAGAGATAGTGTTTATATATATATACAGTATATATATATTCCTTAAATTTACAGGCAGAAAAGTGACCTACAGATGAGGAATTCTAATGATGCAATATGCCATAAAGGAGATATACCAAGTATAACCTTACAGAGCTCTGTTGTGTACGTATTTAGCTCCAATAAACGCTATATGTTAAACTGTTAAAATGAAAGGCCTAATTACAGGCATACGCATGCACTTTTAGAAATTATTTCACTTAAAGAAATAATCAGTTTACATACAGGTGCATCTCAATCAATTAGAATGTCGTGGAAAAGTTCATCTTTCATTTTCATTCATGAGATGCACCTGTACATGCAGTAACTTGGAATCATTTATTGCACTTAAGTGATGGTATGTTCAACACAGAAACGTAATTTTTAAAAAAAAATTTGAAGCTTGACTGTACAAAAACTGTTAAAGGCACAATATGTAATTTTCGCCATTAGAGGGTGCATATTCAAAATAAACAAATAGACAAAGACGTAGTTTGATGAAGCCGTGACTGAGTGTGGAATCGTGGGAGTTGTCGTCTTCATCCCCACAGCCGATGCAATCCGACGGGACTCGGGCAGAAATCATGTTCATGGATGAGCTAATGATTTATTAACGTAGTAGTATGAAGCAGGGTGAGGCTGAAATCCATCAAAGCGAAACGAGGCTGCTGAACGAGTGTGACACACGGCTTGAAAGCAGCGGCGCTTTTATTATGCCACAGTCGACCGCTTCCACTCCTTCCGGTTGTGCGTATGTGGGGTAAAGCAGCGCTGTTTTATCATACTAGATACGTTTGAAAGTTCTGTTATTATGCTACTCTGTGCGGTCGTCACCGGTCTATTAAAACGCACAACATATTAAAGCGTCTTTGGTGTTTCCATGTTTTCTATAAAACAAAACCGGAAATTGAGGGGTTATGACTTCATTGGAAGGCGACACAGTGACACTATGGACACGGTCACTAGTTAAAATTGCTTATTTCTCTGGATTTAAACATTCTTCGAAACATTTGGGATAAGTACGCAAGTCAGCAAAATATATAACACTGTTCTAGTGGTTTTTGGATATTTTAATAAAAAAATCTTACATATTGTGCCTTTAAAGGTTTGGTGCTTGGTTAAAAGAGAGAAGTATTAAAAGAGACCTATTATTGTACACTTGAGGTCCTTGTTTAAGCTGCACCAGTACAGATAACATACCTGCAACAAATAATCCAGAGGTTTAAGGTTTCCTAGTGATTATTACAAAATATAGCTGAAAATGAAATGACTTCGAGGTGCAGTTCATTTTAAAGTGTTGCAATAAGATTTCATGTTTAAAGTATTTGATGAGATTAGTTATTTTATATCTTTTTTTCCATTTATCTGCTATAGGCCTACTAATTTTGCATTTCTAACAGTTGTAAAAGAATGTAAGAAATGTATACAGTGGAAAGGAAGTGAATGAAGCCGTATGGACTTCTGTGATCTTTGCAAACGTTTCCAATCACTGAAGCCATAATAAAAAATACCCTATTTACAGACGTGCATGTGACGCGTTTCGTTTATTCAAGCAGCCAGAAGTGTCTGATAACATTGTGCCTCCATGAAGAGACTTATTATTCATTATTATGAATTATTATTCAGACAAAACATATTTATTCATTTTACTAATTGATTTTATCGACATGCATGGATAAAATATGTATAGAAAAGAAATCATATAAAAAGAGAGCAACAATTCAGCAAATTATACTTTACAAACAAATCAAACAGGTCTGATCACTGCTTATTAAAATGCAGTCATTCATATTTGTTCATGTAGCGGGAGTGATAATCGGAAAGGGAAACTAAATTCAGCTGACTATGCCAGCCTGTCCAACGGAAAATTTATTATAAATTGGTCACCTACAAAGGGCACACAGGAACGTGCTTTCAAAGACAGAGGCCTGAGACGTGGATATTAAAGTACAAAAGCTTTATTTCAACAATAATCGAGCACTAATCTTAAAAATCATTCAACTGTAGACTGGATTAGATTTACAAACATAGAATACACACGAAACAAACAAAAACCGAGGCTTACCTATGGCAGGTAATCTAGTTTACTGGGCGCAAGGCTCCTATATCGCAAAACAAAATAAATAATGCTAACAATTGTACAATGCTTAACACTTAAATGCAAAATCCAAAAGAAAATCAAGACACCTGCTATGAGGTTAAAAATGTCTCATCAAATCAAAGTAGATGTTCACTCCAATTTCATATAAACATACCAATTAGGTAAAAAACTAAAAAATACAAACTAACCAAGGTCAAGCAGAGCAAAAAGAAATATAGATAAAGCAAAAACCACAAGTAGGTCCAGACATGCAAAAGTGACTTAGTTTTATCAATCAAATGTCATATCAAAAACAAGGATGGGTCAGTCAGAGATTTTAATCCTAGAAAGCTATTATTATCAGAGGACAGAGTTGTCCATTTACCACACCTCGTTACAGCACAGTAGGGCTATTGCAGACAGAAACAATACTGTATGCATCGATGTTTCCTGTCAGCGCGATTTTTGAGTGGACTTTGCTGTTTTGATGAGCATGAACGGTATATGAGTGGAGCACTCACATGGGCCGTGAGCGACTGAGCGGAGCACACACACATAGAGCGGGATAATACACAGAGCGTCACACCACGTGAAAATGAAACCTGAGCGGTGAACTCATTTTCGGCAGCCGGAATTTCAGTGCATCTCTAATTATTGGCGACACCAGAAATTGATATTATATAATAGATGCTTTTTTGAACATTTTAGCAATTTAAAAATATTAAAAAAATGATTTGATGACCACCCCTGCTCTCGACAGACCGCACGCTGGTTGGGAAACACTGTTTTAGAGTGTAACCCCTTCCTTGCTGTCCACTTCTTTACTGCATTGTAGTTGAATTATTGCTTTTATTTTACATATTTGCTGTGTTGTCACACCAGTTCATAGTTGTGTGTGTGTGTGAGAGAGAGTGGATGTGTTGGTTTTGCACTCTTGATGTTTTAGAGTTTCACCCTGTCATTGCTGTTTACTTTTTTCTGCATCGTGTCAGATTTGTAGATTGTACACACAAAAAATATCAAAATTTTTGTCGATTTCCCATTCATTTCCTATGTCGGTCATTTTTTGACCGACTACCACAAATGTGACTATTTTTTTACGTCCACTGGTCTGCTCAAATCATGCCCTCAATTTTTTTTGTGTTCACATTCCAAATGCCACCAAGTTTCGTACATCACCATAGGGTTAAACCCAGATCAGATTCAGTAAGTTGTTGAGCTCTTGGTTTCAGTTAATACCAGTTGTCATAGAATTAGCATTTAATTGAATGCTAGTTGAAATGGACTGACTTGTCTTATGATAGGTAGATCATCTTGGACCAGCAATCAACCAGATGGTCATACCATGTTAAAATGGTCAGGGTGGGACATGGTAGCTGATGACCGGCTTAGACCAGCTAAAAACCAGCAACCAACCTAAGTTGATCATTGAAGCCATTGGTGGCTTTTGGGAATCACAGTGGTAGAATTTTCAGCACTTTTTTGATATTCCTAAAAAGAACATTTTATTTTTTCGTCTTCACATGTTTCGTAAAAATTAATATCCATTTTTTCATACTGCGCATTATAATATAAAAAAGTTGGTGGCTTGAACTTTTTTTTTTTAACTTGGTTTAAGCACAGTGACCATCATTTTTATTGGCCCACAACTAATTTGGTTACACGGACGTTTACACAAACCGCAATATCTTAGTTTTGGATTGTAATTCATTAGTACAAAAACAGATATTTACAGCGCATTATAAAAAAAAAATACAGCAAAAGGTGTGAGAAAGTGCCATTTTTATAAAAAATGTCCCTCAATTTAGAGGGAAAGGATTATTTTACTGAAATTTTCGCAGATACATTTCCTCTATGATAGAATTCTGCTGTAAAAATTAGAGTATGAGATTATGCTGGTTACAGACCTAGAGCTAGTAGAAATCTGGGGAAAAGCCTACAGTATTCATGTACTGTTAGCTATGAATGTAGTATGAACAATACTACATGAATAATAAAAATGAACAGTATTTTACAGTAATTATGTTTATGATTGACATATCATAGCTTTTGTTTGTTAATGAAATCTCAAACAGTGGCTTTAAAGCAGGGTCTAGGGACCACTAGGGGGCCTCGGCGGACATTCAAATTTTAAAGGGGTCCTATTATGCTCTTTTACAAAGTCTTGATTTTGTTTTGGGAGTGTACTAGAACAGGCTCTCATACTATGTATGCATGAGAATATGTCATGGTACTCTCGTGAATGGGCGTGGAAGACTGACAGGGAAGAGAAGAAATTGTTAAATAAAGTCGTTATTTTTGTTTTCTTTGCACACAAAAAGTATTCTCATAGCTTTGTAACATTACGGTTGAACCACTGATGTCACATGGACCATTTCAATGATGTTCTTACTACCTTTCTGGTCAGTTGCATTGCTGTCTATGAAGGGTCAGAAAGCTTTTGGATTTCATTAAAAAATGTATATAAAAAGGTATGTACTTTTTGGTGAAGTGGCAATGTATAAAACCATGTATATTTTTGTCACATTGAAATAATATATTTTCAGAGGAAGATAGTTTCTGTATAAATATTTTTTCATACTTTTATTTAAAATACAAATCTTTCAGATATTCCCCAGTGACTCAACTTGACATAACAACTTACCCCTAATGTGGGACAAGACATATTCATATGGCTCTGTAAAGTCTTCTAAATTAAGCTGACAGACATCCACACAGTATTTACTTCAACATTTTCCTTCCTTATTAGACTAATTAAATAAAAAGTGGCACAACTTATCTCACTCTAACCTACCATATACCTGAATATCTTTGTTGTGAAGTGTCAAAGTCTTAAAGGCACTATAGTAAAATGTGCACACATGATATGAGCACCAAGGTAAATTATAGGGGAAAAAACAGTTGAGTAATAGCTACTGTTACTTTCCTGATAAAAACCTGTACAAAAATAAAACAATCCTATTGGTTTACACCCAGATTTGTCTTTGATGATGCTTCTGTGTCCAGTTCATACAACCACACATTTGCATGTCTTCTGTGATCTGGGGGGCTCTAGAGCTGCTAATATCGCCTCATCAAAGACATTCTTGAGTCCTTTCTGTAACAAAGGGGGAAAAAAGTGAATTGCTTGGTTATACAAATAAAGACAAACATTCAAAACGTGGCTT